ACCGAAGTCGCCCCTACGGAAACACCCAGACATCGCCCCTCACACTGAGCAGACCACCCATTGAGAGCCCTCTGTTGCCACGAAATAGCAGGGTTATGGGTGCTTAACCAGGGAATTCCCAGCACCACCGGGTACGCAGGAGAGTCGATCAGATACAACTGTATAGTTTCCTCATGACCCCCCTGCGCACACATCCTAAGTGGCGCTGTGACTTCCCTAATTAACCCCGACCCCAACGGGCGGCTATCTAAAGCATGAACGGGAAAAGGCTTGTCAACAGGTAGGAGAGGGATCCCTAAATCTAAACAAAACTTCCGATCAACAAAATTCCCAGCTGCACCTGAATCTACTAGTGCCTAATGCTGGGAATGAGGTGCAACCTGTGGAAAACAAACAGGTATACAAAAGTGCGCAACAGAGAGCTCTGGGTAAGTGGGGCGTCTACTCACCTGGGCAGGCTGCCCAGTGCGTGGCCTGTTGTCTCCTCCCTCGGGGAACCCTCCCCAGCACCTGGCCGCAGTGTGCCCTCCACGACCGCACTTGGTGCAGGGGACAGGCCCCCTCGGGCTCCTCCTCCTCCTTTCTCTAGCGCCAGCACCCCCGAGCTCCATAGGGCTCGGCTCGGAGGTGCCGGAGGGTGGAATGGATGGACCCCACTCGGGACGTCCACGGGTGGCCAGCAGGGTGTCCAGACGGATGGACATATCGACCAACTGGTCGAAGGTGAAATTGGTGTCCCTGCAGGCCAACTCACGTTGAACGTCCTCCCGTAGGCTACATCGAAATTGGTTTACAGTGGCCAGGTAGAGCTCCACCTGCAGGAGGAACCCCTGACACCCGGCAGCTGTTCCGTCATACGCCCTCGGGAGCGAGAGCCGAATCCCACTGGGTTCCGGACCTGGGACTGGTGGACCGGCCGATGGGGGTGGCAGGGTAGGTGGAGGTGTGGGTACCCCTCTGGACTCCCATCGGTGCAGGGTGTTGATGACGTCCTGTAGAGCGGTCCCCAGTTGTCGTATCTGGTCATCCTGGCCGCGGACATGCTCCTCCAGCGACTCAGGCGTGACTGTTGCTCCTGCTGATTCCATTCATTAAGGTGTGTGATTCTGTCAGGGGTGCTGAAGGTGGGTGTGGTGCAGGAATCAAGCGCAGGATGCAGAAGCTAAGTCCAAAAGACTTTAGTGAATTATTCACGTAGTAAACGAGCACAATCAGCCCGGAGGCGAAATAAAGGCGCACACAGGCGTCAAACAAAAGGCGCACTAACATGTGCGAAAACCTCTCCAAACAACGGAGGGAAGTACGTAGCTCAGAACACCAAAACAGAAGAGCAATCACACACAACACCATACACACTCAACGAGAACTAAATAGGACACTAATGAGGACTAACTAGACACAGGTGTACAACATCAAGACAAAACCAAACGAACATGAAACATAGATCGGTGGCAGCTAGTACTCCGGGGACGACGACCGCCGAAACCTGCCCGAACAAGGAGGAGGAGCAGCCTCGGCCGAAACCGTGACACTCTGAGGGGTGGCCAGAGTAGTTAAGGCCAGATCGTTCTTCAAGATGTTCAAACGTTCATAGATGACCAGCAGAGTCAAATAATAATCACAGTGGTTATAGAGGGTGTAACAGGTTACCACCTCAGGAGTAAATGTCAGTTGGCTTAATTAACTCAGGAACCTCATCTGTGTGGAAGCACCTGCTTTCAATATACATTGTATACCTCATTTACTCAAGTGTTTTCTTTATTTTGGCAGTTACCTGTGCATTGGCAATAGGCTATACTACAGTTTGCAAGGTTAGAGCAAGAATGTATATAAGCTGCAAGATTACTAAAACTGATATTAATTATTCTGTGTAAGAAGTCTCATTCTCACATCCTAATGGTAAGACAAGAATGCTTGGGTTGAAAGGTCATGATCTGGAAGTGCTTGGCATATGAAAGACCCTCTCTTACCTCTTACGATCTGTCTTACGTATGTATGGACCCTACATCATGGGTCAGAGGTCAACCGTGACCACATACAGTACCAGTCAAAAGTTTGGACACACCTACTCATTCAGGGGGTTTTCTTTATTTTTACTATTTTCTACATTGTAGAATAATAGTGAAAACATCAAAACTATGAAATAACACATATAGAATCATGTAGTAACCAAAAAAGTGTTAAACAAATCAAAATATATTTTATATTTCAGATTCTTCAAATAGCCACCCTTTGCCTTGATGACAGCTTTGCACACTCTTGGCATTCTCTCAACCAGCTTCACCTGGAAGGCTTTTCCAACAGTCTTGAATTAGTTCCCACATATGCTGAGCACTTGTTGGCTGCTTTTCCTTCACTCTGCGGTCCGACTCATCCCAAACCATCTCAATTGGGTTGTGGTCGGGGGATTGTGGAGGCCAGGTCATCTGATGCAGCACTCCATCACGCTCCTTCTTGATCAAATAGCCCTTACACAGCCTGGAGGTGTGTTGGGTCATTGTCCTGTTGAAAAACAAATGATAGTCCCACTAAGCCCAAACAAGATGGGATGGCGTATCACTGCAGAATGCTGTGGTAGCCATGCTGGTTAAGTGTGCCTTGAATTCTAAATAAATCACAGACAGTGTCACCAGCAAAGCACCCCCACACCATAACACCTCCTCCTCCATGATTTACGGTGGGAAATACACATGCAGAGATCGTCCGTTCACCCACACCACGTCTCACAAAGCCACGGCGTTTGGAACCAAAAATCTCAAATTTGGACTCCAGACCAAAGGACACATTTCCACTGGTCTAATGTCCATTGCTCGTGTTTCTTGGCCCAAGCAAGTCTCTTCTTCTTATTGGTGTCCTTTAGTAGTGATTTCTTTGCAGCAATTCGACCATGAAGGCCTGATTCACACAGTCTCCTCTGAACAGTTGATGTTGAGATGTGTCTGTTACTTGAACTCTGTGAAGCATTTATTTGGGCTGCAATTTCTGAGGCTGGTAACTCTAGTGAACTTATCCTCAGCAGCAGAGGTAACTCTGGGTCTTCCATTCCTGTGGCGGGTCTCATGAGAGCCAGTTTCATCATAGCGCTTGATGGTTTTTGTGACTGCACCTGTTCTTGAAATGTTCCTTATTGACTGACCTTCATGTCTTAAATTAATGATGGACTGTTGTTTCTCTTTGCTTATTTGAGCTGTTCTTGTCAAAATATGGACTTGGTCTTTTACCAAATAGTGCTATCTTCTATATACCACCCCTACCTTGGCACAACACAACTGATTGGCTCAAACGCATTAAGAAGGAAATAAATTCCACAAATGAACTTTTAAAGAAGGCACACCTGTTAATTGAAATGCATTCCAGGTGACTATCTCATGAAGCTGGTTGAGAGTGTGCAAAGCTGTCATCAAGGCAAAGGGTGGCTATTAGAAGAATCTCAAATATAAAATATATTTTGATTTATTTAACACTTTTTAGGTTACTACATGATTCCGTATGTGTTATTTCATAGTTTTGATGTCTTCACTATTATTCTACAATGTAAAAAAATGTAAAAATAAAGAAAAAACCCTGAATGAGTAGGTGTGTCCAAACTTTTGACTGGTAGTGTAGCTCCCAGTGTCACATCCAGGAAAATACTCAGATCGCATAGCGTTTAGATAGCTCACCACACAGTGTCAGGCATGGGTGGACAACACCAGACACGCAAGCGAACATTGTTCTAACTTTACCCCATTTGGTTGTGTGTGTGTGTGAGTGAGTGAGTGAGAGAGCGAAAGAGTGAGAGAGCGAAAGAGCAAGAAAAAGAGAACAGCACGGCCTGAAAGTGCTCTGTCATTCTCTTCAATAAAGCATCATCTATATATGCACATGTTCTATCTTCTCTCTGGGGTGATACATTCCAAAAGGCCCCCCTACATTAAGCTTAAGTCATATATTAATAAACTGAACAACCCTATAACTTTTTGAACGCCTGTCAACCCAAGCACCCTGTATGATCTTCCTCTTCTTAATTAAGCATCAGAATGTTTGTTGTTATCTCATTAATAAGTAAGCTTGTCATGTGAGTGTATTTAGTATGTTGACAAATACATATGTTTGACAACACAATGCTGTGTCAGTGGACATATGAGTTACAGCAAGAATAACCCTGGCTGGTAAAGGTTGGATCTATTGAAGATGCAGGCATAATCTCCCCTTCAAAGTCCAATTGTTATTAACGGCCCAGTAGGCCCTGGTCACCGTTCACTTTTACAACAACCCCAAAGCTCCGTCCCCCTCGCCCAATTTGGAGAGACTAAAAATAAAGATGTGTCACAACTGTTATGGCGCCCCAGGGCCAATCGTCGACCCCCTTCTCTTATGTTACCCAATGTTGTTGCGTCTCGCTATCTCCGTCAGATTAGAGAATACCCATCCTGCAGTTGTATATGGTCATGACAGGGGCATTCCTGGGAGTCCAGGGGTCTGACGCGAGCTTCAGGGGTGCTGAGCTTTTTTAAACCCCTGTCCTGCCTAGAGCTTAATTTAGCTACTCAAGTGTAACGGACATCACCAATCCGGATGCCACCGCCGACTTCGTAGGGCTACTAGCCGTCCCGTCCTGTCCTTTCCACAGACAACGCGTTCATCTTTCTAGTATGTTCTTCTTCCGTGCCAAGGTGTCTATTAGGATGCAGCTACCACTTTTTTAACTTCTCTGATAAATTAAAATCCAGGGGACCGTCCACGTTGGAAACGATAAACGGATTATTTAATTCATCATCCCACTGACAGAGTGCTTGGTTTGACAAACTCCACTCCCATCACAAGTACAACCGAAAATCTCGCCAACTTTTTTTTTAATCTTCTCTAAGTTTTACAACTTTTTTCACGGCCAGTGCGCAAGCTTGGCACTGGCCCGCAATAAACATTTTTTCTTTCTTTTCGCGCTCCCTTGCGTGCCGTAACGTTCACACACTGGCCCCACTGATTGTGGTATAAAAAAGGGCACGGCAACCGACAACATGATGAGCAATAATACCTACTACGAGCAGCAGCAGCCGCCGCAGTACTACCAGGGTACCGACAACGGGGACGACGAGGAAGAGGAGATGCCGGCCACGGAGAAGGACCTTGCTGAGGATGCGCCCTGGAAGAAAATCCAACAGAACACCTTCACCAGGTGGTGCAACGAGCACCTCAAGTGCCTCAACAAGCGGATCAACGACCTACAGAAAGACCTGACCGACGGGCTCAAGCTCATCGGTCTCCTGGAGGTTTTGAGCCAGAAGAAAATGTACAGAAAGTACCACGCCAGACCTAACTTCAGACAGATGAAACTGGAAAATGTGTCCGTCGCGCTGGAATTCCTGGAGAGAGAACACATAAAGCTGGTATCGATAGGTAAGTGGTGTTTGCATTTAGGACCGATTTAGCGCAATGATTGGGTTTCTCGGAACAAAGTTGATGCTTTGCCTGCTCTGTCTATGGTAGCCACTTTTAGGGATACAGTTACTGGTTAGAGAGCGTGTTTGAGTCAGGGGAACGAGTCTGAGATTGATTTATCCTCAAAATGAATAAAACATATTTTGATGTTATAGAAAAGTAATGCGTAACGCAGCTTTTATTTATTAGAGTACAACTTATTCCTGGTTGTGTTGTTGATTGTTCCATATGGACATGCTTATTGTTCAGAGTTGTGTTTTCACTGTATACACTTATCCATAGCTGTTGTTGCATGCGTTATAAACAGTGCACAACTGAAATGTACTGTAGTTTTTGATGCAAATTATTCACGTCGTCGATATATAGTTCTGTGCGTAAAAATGACCAGACAACGGCACGATGTGTTCAGGACGGGTCAATCAAGAAATGTCCCCTTTCTGACTGCCCGACAAAAGACTGCTTTCAGCTGGCTCCGGGAAACAGAGAGACTCTGGGTTCGATGCATGGCTCTGGCATGCCTCCCTGTGTGTTATTACTGTGTAACTCATGCATGGTCCCATTAGAACCAATACTGCCAATTGAGAGTCATTACAGTCTCAGGTTTAACCAACTTGGCTGCTGTCATTTGTTGTTTATGAAATGAAATACTGAATGAGTCATTTGGAGCTTTCTCATGGAATGGAATGTCTCCAATTTGGATTAGGCAATGGCTTTGTAGTTGCTTCTGAATTCTGTAGTGATTTGGCATTTCTATCTCATGTGTTCAAATATGTAGAATAAAGATGATTAACAAGTAGTCTACAAAGCATTTGTATATATCCGGCTATTTGTATAGACACTGAGTGTACAAAACATTAGGAACACCTGCTCTTTCCATGACATAGACTGACCAGGTGAATCCAGGTGAAGCTATAATCCCTTATTGATGTCACCTGTTAAATCCACTTCAATCAGTGTAGATGAAGGGGAGGAGACAGGTTAAATAATTATCTTTAAGCCTTGAGTCAATTGAGACATGGATTGTGTATGTGTGCCATTCAGACGGTGAATGGGCAAGACAAAATATTTAAGTGCCTTTGAACGGGATATGATAGTAGGTGCCAGGCGCACCAGTTTGAGTGTGTCAAGAACTGCAACGCTACTGGGATTTTCACGCCCAACAGTTTCCCATGTGTATCAATAATGGTCCACCACTCAAAGGACATCCAGCCAACTTGACACAACAGTGGGAAGCATTGGAGTCAAATCCTTCTTTAACCTGTGTCCTCCCGTTCATCTACACTGATTGAAGAGGATTTAACAGGTGACATCAATAAGGGATCATAGCTTTCACCTGGATTCACCTGGTCAGTCTATGTCATGGAAAGAGCAGGTGTTCTTAATGTTTTGTACACTCAGTGTACATCACTCACATATTATCTTATCTGATGACATTACCCACCAGGTCTTATAGAATCAGTGCTCCAGGCTGTAGGATATGTTCTTGGAGAACCAATAACAACATGAGAGAGGCAGGGGCTCAGCTTGATGGCCCTAACTGGATCTAATGT